ACAATGGATAGACTTGTTCCTCTAAGTCTTAGTTATTCATTTCTTCAAAAGGGGACAGGTATGACCAGTGTGTCCAGATAAATCCTGTCTTAGGCTCCCAGTACAGAATCTAGTTGATGAAGACTAAGAAGGTGAAAGAGGTTTTCCCTTCACGATCTACAGACCCTCTATCTGACACACATCCCTTTTGAAATGCAAATATTCTTACAATTCTACCTTAGCCAGGGTCTTCACCTCAATTCTTAGCTAATACATAGTTACTATTAATTACTTTATTACTGAAAGATAGATTGCATTGAGTTAGAACTAAAAGAGCCTTTGGAGATCGTCCGATCCTGGAGCTCTCAACCTTTTGGGATCTCCATAACCCTTGGCTTTCAATAAACCTTCTGGTACTTCTTATTTAATATGAAAGGAAATAAATTATAGGACTTGCTATATATATATACATATATATATATACACACACACACACATACACACACACATAAGAAATGACACAAAGATACTCATTAATTTCAATAGGACAATATAGTTATTTACCAAATATTCTATACTCCTTGTTATACCTATGGGGAATACATATATCCAGGAGTTGTGAAATTTTTAGAGTTAGCGTTTATGCTTTGGAAATCAGCAAACTACAAACTGAGACTTGGTTTATTATTCTGTTGATTTAAGAAAGCGAAGGAGAAAATATTAATAATGCAGATTAAACTTAAAAGTGTGTCATGAATACATTTTTTTTTTTTTTCGGAAAGTCAATTGTTAAATATTTACCAGCATACTCCCTGTGTATATCCAAGTTTGGGAGCTCCTGTCCTAATTTCAATTCCTCACTTGAGGATAAAAACCCTAAGACCTCCAGAGTTAAGGTGCTTTGCCCAAGGTCAGAGGCTGCTCTTCATGTCTAGTATGCACCCTCTTTTTACTTCTGCATCCTGAGATTTCTCTCTTCCTACAAAGAGCAGCTGGCAGCCCCTCCTGCATATCGCCTTTCTCAGTTTCCTCCAGTTGTTAGCAACGCTCTACTTCTGAAATTACATTGGATTTATTTATTTGCATATGTATTACATCTCTCTCTCCACCTCCCCACCCCAGCCCCAAACCCTAGTACAATATATGCCCCTTGAGGGCAAGGGCAACATGTTTTAATTTCTGTCTTTGGGTTTTACTTCTGTATTCATAGTGCCTTGAATATAGTTCAGGAAATGAATTTTTTGTTGAATTGTTGAGTTCATTTCAATTGTCACATACGTAGATAAGAGATCTGAATATAATGGGTTCTCTCACTTCATAGTCAGTGCTCTTTCCCCTTGACTATGCCTACTAAAAAGTCATTTGAAGGCAAAAATGAGGAGATTAAGAACTTAAGCGAATTTAGCATTCTTTGTTTTTTTACTGAATATACTCAGTCCAATAGGAAGAATCTCTGAAACTCAGACCTTCAGTTATTACAGCCCTACTCTCCAGAAAACAAGCTTAGAATGATGAAATTAAGCTAGTTAGGGGAAACTAGACAGTTTTCAGTAACTCACATCTTTGCTTCATTTCTCTTTAGTTAAATATAAGTATCATAACTCAAACTAAGGGCAGCTAAGTGATGCATTAGATAGAGTGCTGGGCCTGGAGTCAGGAAGACTTGTCTTGCTGTTTCAAATCTGGCCTCAAACACTGACTAGCTGTGTGATCCTGGGCAAGTCACTTAACAATGTTTGCCTCAGTTTTCTCAACTATAAAAAGATCTGGAGAAGGAAATAGCAAACCACTCTGGTAACTTTGTCAAGAAAACTCCAAATGGGTTCAAGAAGAGTTAGACATGACTTAAATGAACTGGGAGCGCATGTGCCTTGGGGAAAGGAGATCCCAGGATGAAGAAAAGGAGTACTGATAAAGAAGACAGGGAAGATGCTGCCAGAATCATAGGGATGTAGATATGTCTTATACAACAGTCAGATAATTTCACTGGGACTTTGGAAGTAACTGCAACAAGTGGAAGCTGACTGCTTGACCATGGCCACTTTTGCCAGGGCATTTAGGTGCTCTATAGAAAGGGACCAGGAAGTTGATACATCCTGGATTGAACAACCCAAGAATCTGGTGGAGAGAACATCTGGCAAGAGTCATATGAAGGTAGGAGAGAGGGGCAGCTAGATGGTGCAGTGGATAGAGCTCCGGCCTTGGAGTCAGGAGGATCTGAGTTCAAATCTGGCCTCAGACATATAACACTTACTAGCTGTGTGACCCTGGGCAAGTCACTTAACTCCATTGCCTAACCAAAAAAAAAGGAAGGTAGGAGAGAGGCTGGCTTAGGCTTGGAGGACAAATATAACTGTGCTGCCTAAGATGTTTGGTTCTGGGCCTTTCTCCCCTCATATTGTCACTGAGAAGAATGTGGTTATTTACAGGCGTCACACTAGGGTAATGGCCATGCAGCTCCAAAACCTGTACATAGCACGTACCAGAACTGCACCAAAGGTGAATAACAATGGAGCTGTGGTCTGAGCCATAATAGCTTTATCTGAATTGTATTGACTGAGCATATCTTCCAGCTTTCCCATCCCTAGAAAAGGATGCCCAGTGGTGAGTATCAAGAGGTACCAAAAACAAAGATCTTTTACTCTGTCATCCTTAGTGGATGTATAATAAATAGTGTGCCAGTTCAAGTCTCTCCTAGGACACCTGGACAAGTCACTTAACCTCTGAGTGTACCAGGCAACTCTTTAAGACCATAGAGTTGTGGACAGGCTGCTGATCTTCTCTTCAAATATTATTTTTTATTTAATTAATTAATTAAAGCTAGGCAATGGGTTAAGTGACTTGTCCAGGGTCGTGTCTAATGCCAGATTTGAACTCAGGGCCTCCTGACTCCAGGGCTGGTGCTCTATCCACTGTGCTACCTAGCTGTCTCCTGATCTTCTCTTGTGGAGAAAACTCCATATTCTGATTAAATCAAAGGTCCAGAGAAGGAAAAATCCACAGCCACAGTTGAACAGCATAGAAATGGATATTTGAATACTGGTGTATTTACTTTAGCGTTCTTTGATCCCCTCTTCTTTGTCTCTCTCTCTTTCTATTTTCTACTATTTCCCACCAGCTGTACTCCTTGGATTTGACTATATTGTCTTCATACTCCTAGAAAAAGCTTCTCACTAGGAAACTCATTATCCTAGGAACTGTATCAGCTTTGGTACTCATACCTCATTAGCATCTTCTGCCTCTTTGATTGGAGGGTGGGGCAAAAAAAGTCTTCCTTTTCCATTAAAAAGGACTCACAGACCAACTGTTTCCCACCAGCTGTATTCTCTGGATTTGAATCCACCATCATCATGCTCCTAGACAGGCACATTCTTCTTTCTCTCACCTTTTAAACAACCCAGATTATAAGCCCCTTGAAGGCAGCTTTCTTTTTCTTATTTGTATCCCCTGTCCTTAGCAGAGTGCCTGGCGCATAGGTGCTTCGTAAGTATTTATTGAATTTATATGGAAAAAAAATTCATCACCTTTTTCATGACACTAAGCTTGTAAGTACCAGAAGAGTAGAGACTGGAATTTCACTTGTGGTTTTCCTATTTGGAAGCACCTAATTTGTCCCAGCCTCAACCTGCAGCACCCTAATCCTACTCTTGTCAACAAAGCTTCATACGGTAAAGCTTAGGGCTTTCTTGCCTCTCCTCCCTTTTCTATTGAAATATGCATGTCTTATGTCCCATTTCTCCATGGCCCCAATTTCTGCTGATGTGGTTAGTAATGGATGGTCTGGACTTGTGACTTAATCGATGTGGGCAAGTTCCAGTATAGAAACTCCTTCCCTGAATGAACACTAACAACTCTCTATAATGTATAGCTTTAGTTGCCTGGGGGCACTGCTGGCTTGGAACATAGGTCTTCCTAATTCCAAGGTCAACCCTCTACCCATTTGCCATGCTTCTTCACCTGCAATGATCATAGGCTCATAGATTCCGAGCTGGAAGGGACCTTAGAGGTTATCTGATCTAACCTCTTTTTTTTTTTCTCTAAGTGAGGCAATCAGGGTTAAGTGACTTGCCCAAGGTCACACAGCTAGTACGTGTCAAATGTTTGGTCTGAGACCGCATTTGAACTCAGGTCCTCCTGACTTCAGGGCCAGTGCTCTATCCACTGCGCTACCTAGCTGCCCTTTGATCTAACCTCTTCATTGTATAGATGAGGGAACTGAGGTCTGGAGAGGTAATATATATGGAAGAGCAAGGATTAGAATCCAGATCCTCTGACCCTAAATTCAGCACATGTTCTCGTGAACCATGCCAATAATAATAATAATAATAATAACATTTATATAGTTCTGCCACAAACTGTACTAAGTCTTTTACAATTACTTTCTCATTTGATCCTCACAACAGTCTTGTGAGGCAGGTGCTATTATTATCCCCATTTTACAGACAAAGAAACTGAAGCACACAGAGGTTAAGCGATCTGCCTAGGATCACAAGGCTAGTAAGTATCTGAGGTTGGATATGAACTTAGGTCTTCCTGACTCCAGGCCTAGAGTTCTCTCCACTTTGCCACCTACTTGCCAATCCTCAGTTAATATGTGGCCCTCTAAAGTCAACAGACCAATAGTGAACCAGCTGTATTGCTGAATATCAGATGCTCTACTTTTGGGGATGGGGATGGTCTAAATTCTGATTCACTGATACGGGGATGTCTTGATGAGGACACTTCCTCCAGCAAAACAGCTCGATAATTCTTCCCTAACTTATAATCTTAGAGAAGTTCTTGGGAGCACTGAGAGGTGAATGACCTGCCCAGGGTCACAGAACCAGGATATGTCAGAGATGGGATTAGAATCCAGGTCTTCCTGACTCCAATGCTAGTTTTGCATTCAGGCTGATTCTCACTCACTTTACTTCCAACTACGAAAATAGCTGGACCTGGAAGGCGACAAAGAAACATAAGACACACAATTGAGTACAACCACTGCTGGTTCTGGCTAACTCATCACCCGCCTGCATACTCACTTGTGGAATGAAGATGAAGCAGTTGATTGTCGTTGTGCAGACAAAGATGCCTCCAGCTGTGAGTCCAAAGACAAGGTTGGGCCAGTCATGGAAGAATCTGGTGACCAAGAAAAGAAGCCCAGCAACCAGCACCACAAGATTGGCTCCAACCATGATCGTCAAAGACTGATTCACTGGTGGAGAGCTAACATGGTCTGTCAGCCCAGCCAGGTAGGCACCATAGAGCAAGACTACACCCTGGAGTCAACAATGAGAAACAAGAAATGTCTTTTAGGTGAAGAATCTGAAAACATTAGTAAGGAATAGAAAGTAACAGAATCAGATCTTTCACTTCTTTAATTACTGCCTATGGATACTGGGAAGGTTCTATGTTGCAGTTAGTCTAATTTGGATGCAAACACTCAGATGGGTAAGGAGAATAGTCACTAGCAGTATACTATTTATTTTTTTTTAAAAAGAGGTCGTCTTATTTTTAGGGATACTTTTAAAAACATCACCTTGTTTTACAAATATATCTCTTTCCCGGGATCCCTAGAAAGCCATCCTTTATAACAACAAAGTAAGTCAACAAAACTAACCGACACATAGGTCAAGTGTCAATATCATATGCTATGTTTCACCGCCATAGTCCCCCACTTCTTCCAAGAAGGGAGGGAGCTGTATTTTCTAAATGTCCAGAGACAGATTTGGCTTTTTTGCAGTGTTCAGTTTCAGGGTTTTTTCCTTGTTTGCCTGTTTTGGTTACTGTTGCTATTTCTGTTTATATTGTTGCACTCTTTGTGTATATTGTTTTCCTCGTTCTGTTTGCTTCATTCTGAACAGTTCCACAGGCCACTTTTAACAGCTGCTGTTCTTACTTGATCATAAGCTCTTTGAAGGCAGGATCCATATCTTATTTGTCTCTGTATTTCCATTATCATTACACATAGTAGGTTTGAACGAATGAACATTATGGTTGAAGGTGGATTAAAAGAACATTGGTGGAACTATATTTTGGGGGTCTCTATTTAGTTTCCATCTGCAAACCAAAGGAATTGGATGAGAAGATTTTCTTAGAAGTGACCTTACTTAGCTCCTCTACCTCTAATACCCTGTCATCTGTAATCTAATTTAGTGTCGAAGGTCACTGAATATTCAAGCATTTGGTAAATATAGTTTGTGTATACCTGAGTACTCAAACATATTTGGAATCCCAGATAAACAGGCCTATTTGCTGTTCCACACACACGGCCCTCTATCCTCTGTCTCCATGCCTTGGCACAGTCTGTCCCACACCTGGAATACCCTCCTTCATCACCTCTATCTCTTAGAATTTCCAGCTCCCTTCAAAATTCAACTCAACTGCTACCTCCTATGTGAGGTTTTCCCTCCACTCTTTAGGACAAAAACAATTACATTATATTTATTTTGTATTTACTTATGTGCAACACATTGTTTACTCTGACAGAATATAAGCTCCTAGATGGCAGGGATAGTCATTCTTATCTTTGTATCCCTAATGCTTAGCATGCAGTAGGCATTTCATAAATGCTTTTTAATTGATCCCTCAAGGGCCAGCCATATGTCTACTTTTTTTTCCCCCTTGAAGGCAATTGGGTTAAGTAACTTGCCCAGGGTAACACAGCCAATAAGTGTCTGAGGCTGGATTTGAACTCAGGTTCTCCTGACTCCAGGGTTGGTGCTTTATCCACTTTATCCACCTAGCTGCCCCTACTTTTTCCATTAGCCAAGGATATACAGTAATATGTATAAAAAAGTTTTGTAACTACAGTGTTGTTGTTGTTGTTGACAACATATGGTGGTATCCTTTGTATTTATTCTCCTTATATTTACTTTGCATATGTGTGTGTATATATATATATATATATATGTCCTTGTTGTCTCCCCATTAGAATGTAAGTACTTTTTGAATAGGGATTGTTTCTTTATTATATTTGTATCTTTTAATAAACACTTATTAACAGTTAAGTGGAACAGTGGATAGAGCTCCAAGCCTGGACTCAGGAAGACCTAAGTTCAAATCTAGCCTCAGATGCTTACTGGCTGTATGACCCTGGGCAAGTCACTTAACGCTGTTTGCCTCAGTTCCTCACCTGGAGAAGGAAATGGCAAAACACTCCAGTATCTTTGCTGAGAAAACCCCAAATGAGACACAATTGAACAACACAAAATGTTTTTTGATTTATTGATCCTTATTACATTAGTGTAGTAGACTGAGACCTGAGTTCAAGCCCTACCTCTGACAAATAATAGCTTTAGAATCCTGGGCAAGTTACTTAGTGATTCATTGTGCAGACTCTAAATAAATGCCAGTCTCCATTGGTGGAGGAAGTTCCCTGACTGGGAGCTCCCTGTATCAATGAAATGATAGGCCTGGATAAAACAATTATTTCATTATTATAAGCTTCCACTGAAGTCCTGCTGTGAGGTCTCCTCAGGGCATGGAGGCAACTTGGGACTTTCCAAGATTATGCCAGACAAAGGCAAGATATAACAGATCTTGGTTAGCTGGAAAAGTTTGAGTACTGGTCTGATTGTAGGCTAGGTATCTCTTGTCTGAGGACCAGCCCAGCAAGGTCAGAGAGGCTCATTCCTAGGGTTGACCACAAGGAAATGAGTCTTTCAGCTATGGTAACTCTCCAAAACAACATATTAAGTTTTAGAAGAGCAGTGATATATATTGGTGAAGAAAGTCTCTACATCGACAAAACCACAGATCCTGGAAGTAAGGAAGTGTGTTATTATATGCACAGACAGAGTAGGTGGTGAGATTTTGAGGGAAACTGTGAAACTCTCACTCTTTCCAAAAATGCTTTGCCTAACAGTCTGCCATTGGGCACGAAATTCCAAAATTAGAAATTCATTCATTTGAATAGAGATGTTGTTACCCCCAGGAGTCCTCTAGTTAAAACAAGAACTCTGCCTTACATTTATATGAGTACTTTACTCACATCACACTTTATCCTCATAAAACACTGTCGTGAAGTATTTTTATTTCCTTTTTACAGATGATGAAAGGGAGGCTTCAAGAGGTAAAGGACTTGCCCATAGTCACATTGCTAGGAAGTAGAGCTGAGATTCAAACTCAGGTCTTTTGAAAAATATATAAATATATTTTATTTTTTCAAACAACAAAAATCAACCTCTTTCCCTCCCGCTTCACCCCTTGTTGAGAATAAAAGAAAAATAAAATCCTTATTACAAACATGTATAGTTAACCAAAACAAATTTCCACACTGGTCAGGTAAAAAAAAAGTCTCATTTTACACTCTGAAACTCATGTCATTTGTTCCCAAGTCTCATGATCTTTCCACTACACCAAGCTATCTCTCTGATGATGGATAACAGTTCAAAGTCTTGCATCTCACAAGAGATTTGCATTTTTAATTAATTTTTTTCAATTAACAAAGATTTTTTTATTTCTTCTCTTTCTTATTGAGAAAGGATAAAGGAAAAATAAAACCCTTGTAACAAATTTACATAACCAAGCAAAATGAATTCCCACATTGGTCATGTCCAAAAATATGTTTCATTCTGCATATTGAATGTGTCATGTCTTTGTCAGCCAGTGAATAGAATTCTTCATTATTGGCACTTTGGAATCATGGTTGGTAATTGCACTGATAAGGGTTCTTAACTCTTTCAAAGTTGTTTGTCTTTTTCCTTTTTTTTTTTTAATGAGGCAACGGGGTTAAGTGACTTGCCCAGGAACACACTGCTAGTGAGTGTTATGTGTCTGAGGCTGGATTTGAACTCAGGTCCTCCTGACTCCAGGGCAAGAGCTCTATCCACTGTGCCACCTGGCTACCCCTCAAAGTTGTTTGTTTTTACAGTGACTTGACTTGAATCCAGGTCTGATGTGCTTTTTAATACATGCCTTTAGCAGAGAATGGCTTGTAATCTCAAGGAGTGGGTCTAATTTCGAATGTCAGAGGGGAAAAGACAGCATTATGAGAGATTAGTAGAGTAAACATCTGGAGGGCATCTGGGGTCTTAAAATCCCTTTCTGATTATACTGAGTATATGGTTCCCTACCTGCTGGGTAAGTCACACTATCAGTTTTCTCATCTTTAAAATGGGGATATTATTGCACACTATATCAAGGAGTTGTTATGAGGAAAACACTTAGCACACCTTGAAGCATTTTTATAAATGAGAATTATTATATTTTTAAAAATGTTTGCAAAGTACTTTATACCTATTATCTTACTTGGTAGCCACAGCAACCCTCTACTATAGGTAGCTACCACAGGTATTGATTTCCCTGTTTTGTTTTTATTTTATTAAAACTTACTTTATTAAGAATTTGACAACTATCAGATAAGCTGAACATCCCCCTGTAAAAAAGCTGATCAGAAAAAGAGGATTTCACATATAGCTGTCAGTTGGCACCAGGTGTAGCTTGATTCTCCCTTGACATATGCAACAGATTCAATATACCCTCTTCAAAGCTGTCCTGTTTGTCTGCATTTCCTCCTGACCAGCCTTCTGTGTATTTTGAAAATACCTCAATGATTCTCTTTTCTTACTTTTCTTCCCCTTTCTATACCCTTCCTTCTTTCTCTCCCTCTCCCTCACTCTACCACCCCCCAAATGAAAGAAAGAAAAATAAAACCTTCATATAAAATATTCATAGTCAAGCAAACAAATGCCAACTTTGACTGTCTGAAAATGTCTCATTTTGCATCTTGAGTTCATCACCTCATTGTCAGGAGGTGGGTAGCATGTTTTATCTCTGCTTTTCTGGAATCTGAAATTTCATTGGTCAGAGTTCTTAATCTATGTTCTTAACCTATTTTCTTTTAAAATGTTGTTCTATTATATGAATTATTTTCCTGGTTCTGTTCACTTCCTTCTGCATCAGTTCATAAAAGTTTTCCACCACACCAAGCTATCTTGTTAGAAACTGTTTCATCATTTCTTATTGTACAATAATAATTCACTACATCCATATATCATAACTTGTTAAGTCACTCCCCAGTAGATAGGCACCCCCTTATTTTCCAATTTTTTGCTACTATGAAAAGAGTTGCTATAAATATTTTTGTACCTATGGGTCCTTTTCCTCTTTCTTTGATCTCTTTGGGGTATACACCTAGCAATGGTATTTATGGGTATGTGCACATACTTTTGGGGTAGTTAATATTATGCTTATGATCATTTCTTCTACATAGAGAACTGGTAAGTGCCTTCAATTTTAAAGTTTTGAGCCTTAAAGTGAAGATGAAGTCAGGGAAAAGGCAGCAATTTGTCTTCATCTGAGTCCAAGAGAGAGGATACAGAAGGAAAATGGTGAGTATTAGAGAGACTTTGGTGAGTTAGGTAAAATATCTCACAGTGTCTGTTAGTGGAAAAGTAAAACCAGTGTTGGTCAGTCAGTGCAGAAGGCAATCAAATAGGCAGAGAAAAGTCATCAGAACCAGAAAGGACATTTACACAATGATTTACCACAATGCAAAAAAATATATATAGTATTGAAAGACAACAGAATTCCATTTGATGCAATGACCAGTCTTGACTTCCAGAAGACTGTTGGTGAAATATACCTTTTACCTCTTGGAAGACCAGTGTTAGTCTATAAGTCTGGAATGATTATGATCAGATATTGCCAATGCATTTGTTTGCTTTGCTTGATGATATTTCTTTGTTAAACATTGAAGGTTCAAGGGGAGGGTGTTATTGGAAAGTTAGAGTTATGTTAAAAGCATCAATAAAAACTTAATATAAAAAATAATCAAAAGCCTGTGAAAAATGGTGGCTGAAGCACAGAAGACCACAGGCTTAGATTCAGAAGGGTCTTTAGAGGTCATCTAGCCCAACCTCTTCTTTTACACATGAGGATATTGAGGCCCAGAGAGACCCAAGGTCACACAGGCAGTAAGTGGTAAAGCTGGAACTTGAACTCAGGCCCCATTGACTCCAATGCACTTTTGAAAACAATGCACTTTTCCATTAGGAAAGTTTAGAACTGGAAGCTAAGATAGTTTGGAACGAGATGGTGCAGTAGATGGAGCACCAGGCCTGGAGTCAGAAAGACTCATCTTCCTGAGTTCAAATCTAAACTCAGACACTTACTAGCTGTGTGATCCTGAGCAAGTCACTTAACCCTGTTTGCCTCAGTTTCCTCATCTGTTAAATGAACTGAAGAAGGAAATGGGAAACCACTCCAGTATCTTTGTCAAGAAAACCCTAAATGGGGTCACAAAGAGTTGGACATGTTTGAAAAATGATTGAACAACAAGAGTTTAAAAAGTGATACTGATGACAAAATGTAGTGGAAATATAGCAAAAAATTGTCAGAGGTAGGGTCCTTCTGCCTGAGTCAAACACTCTATTAACTAAGCCACATTGCTTCTACTTTTTCCTTGCAATAATAATAGCTGGGCAGCTAGGTGGTGCAGTGAATAGAGCTCTGGCCTTGGAGTCAGGAGGACCTGAGTTCAAATCCAGCCTCAGACACTTAATACTTTCTAACTGTGTGACCCTAGGCAAGTCACTTAACCCCGATTGCCTCACCAAAAAGGAAAAAGAAAAGCTGACATTTATAGCTACACAGCACCTCTCATTACAAAGCATCATCACATGTACTTCTTATAACAATCCCATAAGACAGATAGGAAAGGGATCTATAGGAAGGAAGGAAACAAGCATTTATAAAATGCCTACTATGTGCTGGGCACTGTGCTAAGTGCTTTACAAATGTTATCTCATTTGATCCACACAACAACCCTGGCAGGTTGTTTGTTGTTCAGTCACTTTCAGTCATGTCTGACTCTTCATGACCCCATTTGGGGTTTTCTTGGCAAAGGTACTGGAGTGATTTGCCATTTCCTTCTCCAGTTCTTTTTACAGATGAGGAAACTGAGGCAAACCAGGTTAAAGGACTTGCCCAGGATCACACCACTAGTAAGTGTCTGAGGCCAGATTTAAACCCAGGAAGATGAGTTTTCCTGACTCCAGCCCTAGCACTCTATCCACTGTGCCACCCTAGCTGTCCCTACTCTGGGAGTCATGTGCTGTTATTTTCCCCTTTCTATAGTTGTGTAAACTGAGGCAGAGGTCAAGTGACTTGCCCAGTGTCACACAGTTGGTATGTGTCTGAGGCCATCTTTGAACTCAGTTCTTCCTGACTCTAGGACCAGTGAGTGTTCTATCTTCTACTCCACCAAGCTGCCTCAGAAAGGTAAAGTTTAGTAAAGTAAAAAATTAAAAAAACAAAAAAACCAGTAGGATTTGAACTAAGTTCTTCTGATTCCAAATGCAATGACTCAAAATACGGGAACAACAGCACACATGGCCTTGATGAGGCTTATTGTTGTTTTTTCTAATACCACATAACAATGTCAACATATAGTATTATTTATAGTATTTGGCTGTAGTCTTTCAACCAATAATTTTTAGAAGTTATTTCCTATAGTCAGTGATATAGGTTAATGTTATTTAAGAAATACTATGGAACAAGATGCTTTGGAGAAGAGTTGATATGACCTTGGACAAATCATTTCTCTTTGCAAAATGGATGTAAGGATTAACGGGGTGAGGGCTGCAAGAAACCTGGAACTCCTTCAAAGCCTTGTAACAGCAGCATTTTACTGATGTGCAAACCTCCAAGCCACGACCCTTGGGTGAGGGATCACAGTAAAACCTAGACTGTTGTTTGGTGTTTAAAAAGAGTAATCCTGGTCAGGGACATATATGCTGATGCTCCCATATTGTGAACTTAGTGACTCATCCTTAAAATGGCAATGACACCAATGGATTTGGAATCAGAGAAGCTGGTTTCCAATTCTGGCTCTACCACTTTATTACCTGGGTGATCTTGGGCAAGTCACACTACCTCCCTCTCGGGAGCTTGGTTGCCCCATTTGTAAAGTGTGAGGGTTGGACTCTAGTCCAATCCTGCCCCAGATATTTGCTAATAAAACATTTAACCTCAATTTTTGTCGACTTCACACACTAGGTGCTCCCCACACTGATGAAATCACATATGCTTTGCATGTTCATATATTTGCGTATGGAAATAGTGGCACTATCAGAAGAAACAACTTTATTCCTTGGCCTTTAAAATTGCCTCAAAGGTCCCTTCCGGCTCTGAGTCTATGATTCTGTGAGCCCTTGTCCTGCCTACCCTTATAGAGTCATTGTAAGAATCATATGTGATAACACTGCGTAATGAGACATGTGTAAATATCAGTCATTATTATTTTTATTGTTATCATTTAGAAATAATAGAGACATTATGGTATAATAAATTGAATGCTGGATTTAGAATCAGAAAGACATGAATTCAAATCATGCCCCAGAGATTTGCTAATAAATCATTTAACCTCTCTGAGCCTTGAGGAGCTCCCTTGGATACATCTACTAAGTTGGTGACTGGTTTCAATTTTTGTGGACTTCACACACTAGGTGTTCCCCATACTGATGAAATCATATATACTTTGCACATTCATATATTTGCATATGGAAATAGGGGCACTATCAGAAGAAACAACTTTATTCTTTGGCTTTTAAAATGCTAGTGTTATGCTTTAAGGATATATAGAGATACAGATTTCTATCTAAATGCATATATATATATATATACACAACAAAAATATATATAAACACACACATATGTCTGCATACATACAAACACAGACAGACACACACATGCACACTCTGCTAAACTAAGAGCTCCAAATTTTAGTAATTTCCTCAGGAAAAGTAAGAGGCATTAACTATAATGAATGTCTTACTAAAAAATAAATTTCACTTTTGTAGGACAGAATAACCCCACAGAGTAAGCTGGGATATTTAACTTGAAATGCACGGAACACTGCCTAAAATGATTCATAGTGTGTGACAGCTGTTCTGTATTCCACAGAGTAATAGTTACCAACCTTATATCCCAAAATGAGAGCAATCCAGAGATCAGAGTAAAGGGAGGCACAGAAGTAGGTCTTGGTCATGGAACAGGTGATGTCTCTCTCTGTCATCTGAGAGAGACAGAAAGAGTCAGTGCTCCTAATCCTCGGACAATACTTGACACATGGAAAGCACTTAATACATGTTCTTTCTTTCATTCTTTCATTTAATCACCCTCATATCCCTTCACTTCCAATGTCTTGGAGGCCTGTTTCATGAAAAGCAGGAAGAAATACAGAGGCAAGATTCAGAGGGCTGCTATAGTAATGGATGTGAGGAAAACAATTGGTACGCATTTTGTTTGTCTTGAAGTCGTCCTGGTAGTGGCCTTTCTCTTCCTTCCTTTCTTTCCACTTTGTTCCTTTGCCCTATAAGACTTTCTTGTGGCTAATGTTACTGCCCAGGGTATTCTGGCAGAAGAATTGCTTTTACCCAACCCAGTTCAGTTCAGAGAAGAAGTTTCCCAGGGAATCTGGTTCCTTACCCTCACTGTAAAACGGAGAATCTGAAGGCACTGGATGGGATCAGATAATACCCATGTCACAAGCAGGATAATGTCAACCATCACCAGCACTGCTACCAGCCCAAGCAGCTGTAGGTCTTTAATAATCTGCAACATATTAAGCCCAAGGTCCTTATTGGTTATATATACATAGTGAGCCAGATCTGCACAAGCCCTTTGTATAAGTATCTCCTTGGGAGAAGCTTCCCATCTGGCAAATAATGCCAAAAATAGACACAAAATATTCACAGTAGTTTTTTGGTGGCATCATCAAATGTCCCCCTTCTCTCACTGGCTCTATAATCAGAGTCACCTAACTTCTCTGCTTCATTTCCACATCTGTCAGATGGGAAAAGGGTTGGACCTGATGGTCTCTGAGGTCCTTTCCAGTTCTAAATCTGTCATCTTATGCCATTTTTTAAAAGAAAACAAATGTATATTGGGATTGGGCCCATGCTCTCCATCCAACTGGGATAAGGGTGGGAGATCTAACCAGATATCATTGAGGTACTGCAGGGAATATGCCTAGGCATAAAACCCTGCATGAGGAACCACTCAAGTCTCCTAACTATGGATGTGTTCAGAATATCACTATGACAATCCTCTCTTTGAATCTCTCATTTGTGCCAAGCACAGAGCAGCAGAGAGGAACATAGATTTTGAACTGGATGGGACTTTGAAGGGTGGTTAGTCCAACTCTTTCATTTACAATTCAGGAAACAGGCTCATTAAGGTGATGTGACTTATCCAAGGTCAAACGAGGAGGGATTTGAAGAGTCCAGATTGGAACCCAAGTCGTCTACCTCCAACATTCTCTCCATTGGACTACACTGTCCCCCTCCTCCACAGCAGTCCTAGGGTTTAGATAGCAAATGCATCGGGGATTATTGCTAGTGAGTCATGGATCCCACCACTAACAGCATGTTGCCTCTGGAAAGTCCTGTTTATTTTGGTGATAGGCCAGGTGCCATGATCTAATTAATATGAAGGCTTTTCCATCTTCTTCTCATCAACAGAGACCAAAAAGAAATTTCCTCTGCAACAAAGCAGAATGAATTCAGTAGTGACTCACCACTCTCTTGTCTGGGACCCGCTGGGTAAAAACCCTGTACAGTCTCCAGCTCTTCCCCAATATGGGGCCAAATATTAAGGAACTCCCAACACATAGTAGGGACAGTCTGACCTGTAACAAGAAGGGGGAAGGGAGGGAAATAAATGAGTCAGAAGAGTTTTCTTACTTATTATAAATTTTTATTATAAGCACCATAGGTACCAAAAGTCCAATACACAAACAAAATAAAGAATAAAATCTTAAGTAAAACTTTAAATTGAAAACTACATGTGTACACAGTTTAATGAAATAATTTCCTTAATTGTGACTGCATTCCTTTTTTGGCTGATTTTTTACCTATATACTTAAAAACATTTGTTGTTCCTTTTTTAAAAAAAAATATAATCACAACAACCATTTATTTCTGCTTTCTTCACCCAAGCATCACTTATTATAATTCTTTTTTTCTTTGTATTTTCATCCAGCCACTTGAACAAATCCAGTCATGAACAACTAACTACTGCTTGTTAGAAGCCCATTATAATTTTGAATAATATTAATGGTTTGGAGAGATACTGCATAGTTTAGTGAGCAAAAGGCCAGCTTTGGAACTGGGGATACCTGGGTTCACGTCCTGCCTCTGGCATGGGTTAGCTGTGTGAACATAGGTACTTAACCTCTCAGTACTCCCAGACAGTGATGTAAGACTGAAAGTTACAGGGGAGTTACTGATCCACAGTTAGCAAAGGGAGTTTCTAAGCCTGGAGTTCTTTATACTGAGGAAAGCAAAAGCCTATAATTGGAGACAGGAGCACAGTGGATAGGAAGCACTGGGAAGACCTAAGTTCAAATCTAGTTTCAGACACCTATTAGCTATGTGCTAGGCAAATCATTTAACTTCTGCTTATTGTAAAATGTATATTGTAAAATGTAAAATTGTAAAATAATAGCACCTACCTCCCAGGGTTATTATGAGGAGCTGAAGTGATTATTAAATGTTTATTTCCTTCCTTCTTTCTTTCCTTCCCCTCTCCTTCCCTCCCTCCTTCCCTTTCTCCTTTCCTTCCTTCTCTTCTCTCTCTCCTTTCCCTCCCCCTCCTGGCTCCCTCTCTCCCTTCCTTCTTTCCTTCTCTTCCTTCCATCATTCCTTCCTTTCCCTCCCTCCCTGTCTCTTCCCTTCCTTCCTTTCTCCCTCCTTCTTTTCCTCCCTCCCTTCTTTTCCTTCCATCCTTTCTTCTTTCTTCCCTCAACTGGAAATCTGCTTCCTTGATTGATTGATTAGAACTTCCAACTCACTGCTCTTGCTGAGGCCAAGAAGAATATATACAATCCTGCTTCCAAGTGACAGTACATTAAATAATTGAAGAACGTTATCTTCCTTGCTATGTCTTTTCTTCACCAGACTAAATATCATTAGTTCCCTCAACCAAGAAAGTTCTGGGAGTCAGGAGATTTCATTAATACTAATTAATAATAAGATTACTTCAATCCTTCAAGTACATGGGATCTTCAGTGGTATGGGTACTCCCTCTACCAGTAAATGCAACACCTAATTCCTTATAGTTTCATGAATTACTGTGTCTGGAAAAAAAATTGATGATCTGGTTGTCAATACCCTGAGGGTGGGAGGCAATCTCCAAAATGACTTAGGCTGGTCCTGAGAGGAAATGTACCATAAGTCACCGGTGCCTGTATTTGCAGCCTTTACAACTTGAGAGTGCCTGCCAGAATTTTGGGGCTGCTGGCAGAACCTTTAAGAGTCACCTCCACCTCCAAATGAGTAGTAGGCAGAGCCTTAATTAGGAATTCTAATACCCGGGACAAATTCATTTGGTAGATAGCACCCTTCGAGGAGTGAAGTGAAGCAGAGCATTGGTACAGTAAATAGAATGCTACTCTTAAGAGTCAGGAAGATCTGAGTTTGAATTCTTATTAGCTGTGTGACCCTGGGAAATTCAATTAATCTTTCTCAGCCTCAGTTTCACTTTTTAAAATGAGGGAATTGGCCTCAATGGCCAACTCTGAGGTCCCTTCCAGTCTCCCCTGTGAAAGGAATAAAGTATAACTCTTCCTGTATCATTCAGATAAACTGAAGAAAGGGGTCTTGTGAATTGAGGAGGTCTAGAATGGAGAGACCAGGATATTGAAAGGGGGTGGGAGGCTGAGGTAGTGAAAAAGACTATGAGCCAGGTACATTCTGAACTTATTAGGGAGGAAGGAAATTGACCTACTAGTCCATAGATGACAGCAATAAGTTTCTGGACAGGAGAGACAGAAACTTCAAAGGAGTGAAGAGGGCGGGTCTGAAAGTCGACAGAGTACGGCAGTTCCTCCCTAAGCCTTTTATATGGGGGGTGATGGTGGGAGGTTTGACAGAAAGAGAAGCTAGCCTTGGAATGGGTGACAACAAACATTGATGTCTTCTGGGGAAAGCTAGAGTTTAGTGGCAAGGAATATAAGAGGAAAAGACATAGGAGGAAGGGGAGCTTGTACACGATGTAGGAAATGTCCCTAGGGCACAGTAGAAAAAAAGAGCAGAAGAGGATAGGGAATGGAAAAGCCTAGGGCTGAATTGACTGCTGGGTCAGGGTGGGGAGGGTGGTAGGAGGAACTGATCCTGCACTGATTCCAGGTGTCTCCTAAGGCACAGATCTCCAGGATAGAAAGCGGGTTAAAGTCGGATCCGAAGAGAGGAGCAATGAGAACTATAGCATCTGGGCAATTGGCAGCCTAGGGTTGGGAGCTGATGCTGGAGGAAGGAACAGGTGAGTCAGGTTTGCTGCACTCTGAAGGGTGCCGGGAAACATGCCCCTCAGGTAGGAGATGTACCCTCTTAGATGTTGGTACTTAGAGCAAAGGCTTGGCCACTTCTAGGAGATCTGACTTTGGCAGTAAGATACCAGTAGAGAGAACAACAACAACAACAACGAGGATGATAATAACAGCTAACATTTAAGGAGAGCTTTAAGGATTACAAAGCATTTTATAATTATCATCCCATTTTATCTTTATAAGCACTCTGGGAGATAGGTGCTATTATTATCCCCATTTTAAATCTGAGTCAGACAGAAGATAAAAGACTCGCCCAGGGCTATACAGTTAGTGAGCATCTAAGGCTGGATTTGAATTCAGATCTTCTCGACTCCAGGTCTAGCACTCTACCCACTGCACTACCTGGCAGTTTCTAAATCAAATAAAACAACAGCGAATATAGCATTAAATTCTAAATTTAGTATCTATAAGTTACAGACCAATACAGTAGAGAGAGCGCTTGATCTGGCGTTAAAGGGTTTGAAGCTTAGCTCTGCCACTTAGAGTTCCCGTGATCTGATCTTGGGCAGCAAGTATCTTCAGCTTTCTCTTTGGGCTTGTTTCCTCATCTATAAAAGGACAGGATTGTTCTAGACGACCTCTCCTGTCCCTTCCATCCCTAAAGATATGATGCTGTAAAAGTATTGACATCCTAATAAATTATAAATGCACAAATATAAACTTTGAAATAATAATAACTAAACAGCTATTTTTTTCCATTCCCCCTCCTTATCGCTTTTCACCTCATTGCTGGGATTTTTTCCCCACTAACAGTTACACCAAATGTGTATGTTGTTTTAGTTTGGCTTTCTTTGCTCTATATCATTTTGTAAAAATCTTTCTACATTTAATGATATCCTTCATATTTGCCATTTTTTGTAGCCTAATAATATTTTGTGACATGAATGTGCAAACATTTGTTCAGCTATTTCCTAATTATTGGCTTATTTCCAGTTTGGGGGCTATTGAAAATAAAGCAGCAATGAGTATTTTTGTATAGACAGACTCTCTCCTTTTTAACATTATCCTTAGTATTTAGTCCTGTTAATGAGATCATTAAGTCAAAAGCTTTGATCCAGTCTATAACTCTTATTCCATTGTCACGTTGTTCTAGGAAAAGATTACCTTAATTTACTGAGTGATATTAGGCTTGTTTCCCCACAGCCCCAGCAACTCTGAATTTTGTCATTTGAAACTGTCTTTGCCAATAAGCTAGTTAGAAGGACGCATTTTGAGGTAGTTTTATATTTTTCCAATTACCAGGGATTTTGGACAATTTTTCAAGTGATTATTAGCAATTTGGAATTATTCAATTAAAATTGTTGATTACATCTTTTGTTAATCCACTGGGGAATGATTAATAGCCATAAAAATTTATAAAATGTTCTTGTAGTTTGTAGAATACATAAATATTCATATGTATATATTTGTTGTTCAGTCATTTTTCAGTTGTATACACCTCTTTGTGACTCCATTTGGGGTTTTCTTGGCAAAGATACTAGAGTAGTTTGCCATTTCCTTCTCCAATATGTGCATTTACATATGCATGTGTGCACACGTATACAAATATGCATTCATATGTATATCAGCATTATTTACCATAAAAATTTTTCCTCCAATCAGATTCTTTTATCTTTTGATTTGTTGTGGGTCAGGACACTAGTGGGAGTTGGGAGACTTGAGTTGACCTTAGTAAAAAGACAATGGAGAAAGCAGTGGTGCCCTGGCCTCTTGGGTAGTAGCTTCAATAGAATGAGCCTGGCAGCATCAGCATAATGGGAAAATAGTAGGTCCTGGCATGAATAGCACTGCGAGCCCTGAGACAGTGACATTCACAATGACACCCAGCCTACTCCAATTGTACCTGCAGCAAGACAGTGGAAAGGATAGTCTAATTCTAGTTGGCAAGATGGCAGTCATAGCTCCAGGTAGCTGCAGGTGGGCCTCAGCCAATCAGAGTGGCATCTAGCATGTGGGCAGAAAAAAGCCACAGGGTGAATGGGCAGACCTCAGTCAGCTAGATGTGTTGGAAACAGCACAATTCTATCCTGATGGATGGACAGGACAGCAGCAGTGGGAAGCCCATGCTGGCCTTTTGTTGCGGTTTCAATGGGGTTCCCAGCTTTGCTTCAGGGATGAGGGGATGGGAAAAAGCTGTTGAGTCATAAAACTGCCATCTGTGACCCTGGCTGCCCACGTTATTGGATGTTGTTATTAAAGGAATTATTTATCTGGGCCCTTAGGCTCTGAGGGATCCATTGCACTAGATGTAAAATCACAACTGGGACATGGCCATATTGCTTTTTTTAAATGTAAAATTC